GAGACAACAAGGTGCAGGGCTGGATGAACACAGCAGGCCCGAAACATCAGCCTCTCTGCTCCTATGATGCTGCTTGGCCTGCTGTGTTCATCCAGCCCTGCACCTTGTTGTCTCGGATTCTCCAGCATCTGCAGTTCCTACTATCACTAAAAAGTGTTGTTTCTATTTTAAAACAAATATCAAGTTATAAATGTGGCATGCACTTCCGAGCAACAACTATGCATTTATTAAGAATGGTGCAATGCAATCTCAAATAATTGTTTTTACCTTGTCACAGAGGAGTTTGCCGGCTGTGGTAATTCAAGTCTCTCTTCCATTGTTGCATCAAAGGACAGAATGCTAGAAGCAGAGGAAAGAGCATCGGCCAAAAAAGCCATTTCAGCATCAACATCTGACTGGCGTCGCATCACACTTGTTGCCACTTTGGCTTTTGGCAGAGGTAGTTCCTCGGTGGGTGGAGCCATTCGACCTTAAAATAAAATCACATTACAACTCATACTGTTTTAAAGCTAATCAATAAATGACTTGGATGAGAATATAGGAGGCACAGTTAGCAAGTTTGTACATGACACCAAAATTGGTGGTATAGTGGATAGCAACAAAGTTTACCTAAGATTACAGAGATCTTGATCAATTGGGTCAATGGGCAGAAGAGTGGCAGATGGAGTTTAATTTGGATAATTTGGAGGTATTACATTTTGGGTAAAACAAGCAAGGGCAGGACTTTACCATTTAAATGGTAGTGTTGCAGAATAGAGAGACATCTAGGGGTTCAGATACGTAGTTTGTTTGTGTCACAGGCAGACAGAATGGTTATGGCGGCATTTAGCATGCTTGTCTTCATAAACTTTGAGTATAGGAGTTGGGACATTGTGTTGAGGCTCTACAGGATGTTGGTGAGGTCTCTTCTGGAGCACTGTGTTTACTTCTGGTCACCCTGCTAAAGGAAGGACATTATTAAATTGGAGAAGGTTCAGAAAAGGTTAACCAAGATGTTGCCAGGAATGCAGGGTTTCAGTTATAAAAATAGGCTAGATAGGCTGGTACGTTTTTCACTACAGCAGAGGATGTTGAAGGGTGACCTTATAGAGGTTTATACAATCATATGGGGATAGATAATGTGAATAGCAGCGGTCTTTTCCTGACGGTGGAGGAGTTCAAAACTAGGGAGCATATTTTTAAGGCGAGAGAAGAAAAAGTTTTAAAAAAGACGAGGGGCAACTTTTTTTTAAAAACAGGAAGTAGTTCATGTGTGGAACGAACTGCCATAGGAAGTGGTGGGTACAGGTAGAGTTACAACACTTATAAAGACATTTGGACATGTACATGAGTCATAGAGCTGTACAGCATGGAAACAGACCCCTCCGTCCAACTCGTCCATGCTGACCAGATATCTTATCTGCCAGCATGTGGTCCATATCCCTCTAAACCCTTCCTATTCGTATACCCATCCAGATGCCTTTTAAATGTTGTAATTGTACCAGCTTCCACCACTTCGTCTGGCAGCTTATTCTATACATGCAAGACCCTTTGCGTGAAAAAGTTGCCCCTCAGGTCCCTTTTAACTCTTTCCCCTCATGCCTTACACTTATACCCTCTAGTTTTGGACTCCCCCACCCCAGGGAAAAGACCTTAGCAATTCACCCTATCCATGCTCTTCATGATTTTATAAACCTCTGTAAGATCACCCCACCGCCTCTGACACTCTAGGAAAAATAGCCCCAGCCTACTCAGCCTCTCCCTATAGCTCAAAATCTCCAACCCTGGCAACATTCTTGTAAATCTTTTCTGAACCTCTTTTCAAGTTTCACAACATCCTTCCTATAGCAGGGAGACCAGACTTGCACACAGTATCCCATAAGTGGCCTATCCAATGTCCTGTACAGCCGCGACATGATCTCCCAACTCCTATATTCTGTGCACTGACCAATAAAAGCAAACATACCAAATGCCTTCACTATCCTGTCGTCTTCAAAGAACTATGAACCCGCCCTCCAGGTTCTCTTTGTTCAGCAACACTCACCAGGGCCTTACCATTAAGTGTATACGTCCTGCCCTGTTACGCGTTTCCAAAATGCAGCACCTCAGATTTACAAGAAAATTTTCTGCCTCAGTATGTGGATTTATGTTCTAGAGAAGCAGTAAAACTTGACCTACTCTTGGGAAATAGGCAGTGCAGGTGACTGAGGTGTCAGTGGGGGAACACTTCGGGGCCAGTGACCATAATGAATAGGAAAGGTTTGGAGGGATATGGGCCAAACACAGGTAAGTGGGACTAGTTTGGGAACATGGTTGGCATGGACTAGTTGGACTGAAGGGTTTGTTTCCATGCCTAACGGCTCTAATTGAGGAACGTGCAAGGTCCGACGCACTGATAGCTTAAAGTTAAATTTGTTTATTTTGCTGGGAACTTAAGTGCCTCAAAAGCCAAATGATTTCTTAACACAATTTTCAATGTTTAAGATTATAAGAAATTGCAGCAGGAGTAGTCTGTACAGCCCATTGAGGCTGCTCCACCATTTAACAAGATCATGGCTATCCAACGTTCCTTATGTTCACTTTCACCATAACTTGTGATTCCTCTACTGATCAAAATCTGTCTATCCCAGCCTCAAATATATACAAGGACTCAGCCCCCAAAACTCTGTTGCAAGGTCCTCCAAAGACACTGAACGCTCAGAAAAGGAATCCTCCTTGGTTCAGTCTCAAATTGGCACCCATTAATTCTGAAGCTATTCCCTCTTGTCCTGGACTCTTCCATGAAGAGAAACATCCTCTCAGCATTTGTCCTGTCCAGCTCTTCAAGAATCCTATATATTTCAATTCTTCATTCATTCTTTTAAACTCCAGTGAGTACAGTCCCAACCTAGTTAGCCTTTGCTCATAAGACAACCCCTCCAACCACAGATCATCCTAGTAAATCTTCATCAGAATTGACTCAAATGAAATAATACATTTCTTTAAGTAAGAGGATCAAAATTATTGAGTATTCCATATGCAGAGTCACCCAGCACCTTGTACAATAGTAAGACTTCCCGAATCATACGGAAACATCCTTGAAAAAAAAGCCACCATTCCATTAGCCTTCCTGATTACCAGCTACATCTGTGTGCTAGCTTCCTGTGCTTTATGCTCAAGTATTCCCCAAGTCTCTTGGTGTTGCAGCTTCTTGCAGTTTTTCTCCACTTAAATAACGCTGTGTTCTTTCATTCTCTCCTACAAAATTGACAAGTTCATATCTTGCCACATTGTGTTCCATTTGCTGTTTGCCCACTTAACCTGTCAATATCTCTCTACACACTGTATCCTTCTTGCAGTTGCCTTTCCATCTATTTTTGTGTCATCTGCAAATCCAGCTACAGTCCATTGACTTCTTTCTTCAAGTCATTGATACATATATAGTATTATAATCAATCATATTTCCAGTACTAGTTATAGGTTAACAACCTGAAAAAGAACCTCATATCCCCAATCACTGTCTCCTACCCAATATCCTTTTTTTTTTATAAATGCCGCTACCTTTAACAGATAACTTAACCTTTTGCGAGGTACCTTCTCGAATATATTCTGGAAGTCTAAATACAACACATTTACTGGTTTGCCTCTAGTCTAGTGGAGACTTCCTCAAAAACATCAGTCTCCATCTTCCTTTCATTAAACCATGCTGACTCTTTTTGATTATGTTACGATTTTGCAAATGACCTCTCCCCACACACCCCAAACCCATGCTTGGGTTTCTACAATTCTACAATTCTATTACATAATTCATAGAAAAATAAGTTTGCCATTATAATGTATTTTCAAGTCTATATCTGTTATAGATATTTTCTAAATCAACTTATTACACACCTCCAGTGCACGTGAAATTTGAACCTGGGCCATCTAGCTCAAACATAAGGTCACAACTACTGCACCACAAGAGCTCTTCTGTTCCACACAACCCTAAATCAATTTGCACGTCTATTACCTGTGCAAATTTTGCAATTCAAATCAAAGAGGTGTTTCTTGTGCTGACAAGTAGTGTCTTCTGTAGTCTCTGTTGATGGTTCTTCTTCAGTCTCTTCCCATTTCTCAATGACAGATTTTGGCTCTATAGCTTTTAGTTCAGCACCCTAATAGAGTTCACAATGAAAACATTCCACTTTAGTTGAAACAAAAATGGATTATACATTAGTTCTTCATGCACTAGATTATAGGTTCAATAACAAAATAACTAGTTTACTTAAATATATTTTGTTAAATTCTAAATGAAAATATAATTTCCTTTAAATTGTTCAATAAATTCAAAACAGATGTGGAGGACAGATTCCAGTGAAGACATGGTTCATAAAATTATCAATAACTGAACACAAATAAATCAGCTCACAGAAGTGAAAAACCATGAACATTTGTTAAATGAACACAGATTTTAAGAAATGATGCCATGATGCAAGTTTAAAATGCTTCACATGGTTTTCTATACATTAATAGATGAGACAATAGGACAAGGTGACCTCCACGCTTAAATTGTAACCGTAAAGCACTAGTAAAATCTGGATACATTTTTCTGGCTGATGTTTCTTTAGCTTCATGTATTACTGCTGCAAACGCTGGAATTAATGCATGTCATAAGATGTCTTAGCAACAGAAAACTAGGCTTTAACACAATAGCCACATGCAAATAAATTAGTCAATAATCTTATAACTGACAACATATTTACTAAATCTGATTTTACATGAAACATTGACCATCTTCCCAAAATATTTTACTTGATCTAATCATGTTTTTCCACATACCTCTACAATTACTGTCTCAGATTCATTTATTGGTGTTTCACTTTCAATTTCTATTTCTCCTTTGTGAGTTATTTTTGTAATTGGTCGTCTTTCAACCTCCCTTTGTTCCTTTTCTATCATTTCAATCATCTGTGCATAAAGTAAGAATATTTCAGTTACATGTAATGAAAATGAAAAGGAAAGCTTACAAATACATAATCTGTCAATCTACATGCTCTCCAAATGAATTTCATTAACATGAACTGAGATTACCTTAGTGTGAAAGGATTAGACAGGGTGGAATTTTTGGTGTGCATCCAGAAAAGCTTTTTGTGTCAATACATACATACTACAGATTGGGCAGTGACAGACCTAGCCCTAGTGAATGAAGCTGGTCAAGTCGTTGAAGTTTCTATGGGCAAGCATTTTGGGGATAGTGACTATAATATTCAAAGTCATTATAGAAAGGGATAAGGATTCTACATAAGTTAAGTGCCAAAATTGGGGGAAGGCCAATTTCAATATCATTAGATATTGAAAATTGCAAACTGGAAGCAGCTACTTGCAGGTAAGTTTACATTTGGAAAGTGGGAGATCTTTAAAAGTAGTACAGTGAAAATTCAAGGCCAACATGTTCCTCTAAAATGAAGGCTAAGTGCAGCAAGTTCAGAGAACACTGGATGTCAATGGATGTTCAGACTTTTTAAAAGATAAAGAAGGAAGCATATGTCAGGTGCAGCGTATTAAAAACAGGGAAGGCCCCTTCAGAAGTAGAGTGTATGTACGCAGTTGCTTAAGAAAGAAATTAGGGAGGGGCCAAAAATCATCTTTGGCAGACAGAATCAAAGAAAACCCCCAAAGGGTTTTATTACTGTATTAGAGAAAGAGGATTATTATAAAGCTCCACTCTTACCCCAACACACTAAAGGGAAAATATGTGCATGAATTCAGCAGACGTGGGCGAGATCTTTAATTAATGGTTCTCATTTGCATTCACAGGAGAAAGACATTGTAGCCAGGGATTTCAGTTGGGATGGTGAGGTTCTAGAACGTTAATATTAATAAAAAGGGATTATATACGTTTTAGCGGGCGTAAAGGTGCATAAATCCCCGGGGCCTGATGAGATGTAGCCCATGTTTCTATGGGAGGCATGGAATTGATTGAGCCTTGACAGAGATGTTTAATACTTTCCTGGCCACAGGTGAAGTGCCAGATGACTGGAGAATAGCTAAATGTGTTTCCTTTTATAAGGGCAGCAGGTATCAGCCAATTAACAAATAGATCAGTTAGTTTGACATCAGTGGTAGGGAAATTACTGGAAAAAATTTTGAGGGACAGGATTAATCAATACTGGGAAAGGCAGGAATTGATCAGGGATAATCAGCATTAATTTTGTTAGAGGGAGATCCTGCCTGACTAATTTAATTGAGTTTTTTGAAAACGTAACTACATATATTGATGAGGGTAGTGCAGTTGATATGGTTTACATGGAATTTCTCAAGGTCCAAAGTGGAAGACTGGTCTAAAAGTTGGAAAACTGGAGGCAAAATGGGACGGGGGACAGTTGTTTTACAGATCAGAAGCCTGTGATCAATGGTGTACCACAGGGGACCCTTGCTGGTTTTATAGATGCATGTTAATGACTTGAATATGAATGTAGAAGGTAAAATTAGTAAGGCTGCAGGTGCCAAAAATTGGTGGTGCTGGGGTTGTTGATTTGCTCGCCGAGCTGGCTTGTTTTTATTCAGACGTTTCATCACCATGCTAGGTGACATCATCAGTGGAGCCTCCAACAAAACGAAACTGCTTGGAATTTATATTGTCCGGTCCGTTATGGTGAGTACGGTCATTTCCGGTTTTGATCTGTATGGGTTTATATATGGGGTCCAATTCTATACATTTGTTGATTGAAGTATAGGTGGAGAACCATGCCTCTCGGAATTCCCATGCATATCTATGTTTGGCTTGGGCTACTGTGGTTACTTTATCCCAGTTAAACTGATGGCCTTCATTGTACAGGTATTAAGGAGAGTTCATCGCGCCGTTTTGCTGCTGGCTGATGTTCGTGTATTCTGCTGGTTAGTTTCCTTCCTGTCTATCCGATGTAATGTTTGTGGCAGTCGTTGCATGGTATTTTATAAACCACGTTCGTTCTGCATGTTGTGGGAACGGAGTCTTTAATCCTTGTAAGTGTTTGTCGTAGAGTGGCTATGGGCTTGTGGGCCACCACGACTCTTAGTGGTCTTAGGAGTCTTGTTGTCAGTTCCAGCATGTACCTGATGTAGGGATGTGTGATCTGGCAATTTGCCAATACTTTAAATTGGTGGTGCTGTTTACAATCAAGAGGATGGTCTCAGGCTACAGTATGATACTGATCAGCTGGAAATTGGGCAGAGCAATGAGATGTGGAATTTAATCCCAATAAGTGCGAGGTGACACATTTTGGAAGCCTAATAGAGGAAGGATATGCACAATGAATGTTGGGACCACAGGGAATGCTGAGGAATTCAGAGACCTTGGTGTACAAATCCATAGATCCCTGAAGTGTCAGCACAGATAGACAGAGCGGTGAAGGAGGCATACAGGATTCTTGCCTTCCTTAGCCATGGTGTAGAATATACAGCAAGGAAGTCTTGTTACAACTATATAAAATATTGAGGTTGGTTGGCTCACCGAGCTGGTTTGTTGTTCTGCAGACGTTTCGTTACCGTGCTTGGTTACATCCTCAGTGCAGTCTCCGATGAAGCCTTCATCAGAGGCTGCACTGAGGATGTAACCAAGCACAGTAACGAAACGTCAGCGGAACAACAAACCAGCTTGGCGAGCCAACCAACCTCAACACCCACAACCCGAGCTACAGATCTACTCCAAAAACCTTATATAAAATATTAGTTAGGCTACAGATGGAATATTGTGTATATTTCTAGTTGCCACGTTATCAGAAGAATGGAATTGAACTGGAAAGGCAACTGACCAGGATGTTGCCTGGGATAAGAAGTCTCAGTTATTAGGACAGACTGGATAGGCTGGGTGTTTCCATGGAGTAGAGGTTACTGAGGAGGGATCTGATTGAGGGATACAAAATTATAACAGGCATTGACAGGGTAAATTGTGAGAATGTTTTCCCCATGGCAAACATGTCTAAGATCAGTGGGCAGAAGTTTAAGGTAAGGAATATTGGTTTAGAGGAAATCAGAGGAAGACGTTTTTCGTCCACAGGGTGGTAGAAATATGGAACGCGCTACCTGAGAGGGTATTAGAGGCATGTACTCTCAAAATTTAAGCAGCATGAACACTTTAAATGGCAGGACATGGCAAGCTGTGGATGGCGTGCAGATAAATGGGATTAGTGTAGTTTGGTGTTTGTTAGTCAGCACAGACATAGTAGGTTGAAGAACCTATTTCTTGGCTGTTCAACTCTCTATGACTCTAGGAGATAAGAAATACAGAAATTAATGTGAATTGTTCCTAAAAAGGGAATATGCATAAAAATAAACAACTAAAACAGATCTTACATGTCTATTCTCTCTTTGTCTCCATGCTGCTAATTCCTTGGATGCGAGTTCTTCTGGACTCATACGAATTAAATGATCAGGTACAATGTCACCTTTTAAGACTCGCTTGAATAAGACCTAAAATATTCAATGGTTTTCAAATGAAAATCCGTTTTCATTTTTTTGTACAGTGAAGAAGTGCACGTAATCACATGAATAACTAAATGATGGAATTGAATTACTGACCACTCAATGTAATGGGCCTAATCTTCCAGTCTCCTGATTGTCAGAGACTGGACATCTGACAGGTGCAACAGGACCTTATCACAGGCCTGGCATGAGGGGAACTATATGGAAATTGCCTAGGAACACTGAGTATCTTGATGGACAATTCCCTTGTTCCTCAGGACTCTTTGTGAACTTCAGACAGTTTTGTAATATTTACCTGGGTAGTTACCAAGGAAATCTTACATTAAAATCCAGTCTAACATATATGTAACTACACAACCAATCCCCCCCGCCGCCCCCGCACCCCATTTTAAGTATATACATTTCAACAACAGGTAGGTGTCAGAAGCAGTGCAAAAAGACAACAGAGATATATCAAAGATCAAAAGAAATAGTTTGGAGAAAGTAGAAGTACATTATATAAAATGGGATAAAACTTTTGTCAATTTAACTCCTGCCAGGAGGTGGTCTCAGAGCAAATTCCCAATATTAAGAAAAGCACAAAAAATCTTCAGTGCCACTTCTGCACAAAAGTTGCATGAAACTCAGCTGCTATTACAGGAATAATTTCAAGCTACTGATGGGGTCCAGAAGGCAGCTATAGGATAGATTCATAAATTTTTAGTGCCCTTTACAAGGGAAGATCATCCAACCTAGTATTTACACTCTGGAGAAGAAATGATGCAAGGAACTTTGTTAAGATTCTCAAAGGAGAATGGGGATCCAGGAGTTTTCTAATAGAGTTCCTTGGTATACTTTAAATACTAACAGTAAATAAATAGATCATTTGTATTTAAGAGGGGACCTGGTCCATCACTAATATGTGTTAAACACAACAGATTGCATGATCAGTTGGTCTTGGCATACCTCTTCCTATTGCTTACAAGGACACAATTTGAAAAGCACTTAGGTAACTCACTGACATATTCTTACAGCCTCAAACAGAGTTTAAAGCAGATCAATGACTTTACTTTTCGATGTTTTTATTTAATGCTCTTTTAATCAATGTTAAATAATGAAAATACTTCAATCATCAGGATGACTTCTAATTAGACAGATGCCAACAATACCAAAATCCAACGAGTGCTAGTGGCTGATTTTAAAAAAGGGTTAAATAAATTAAATAAAAATTTAAAGTAGTAGTGCTGGAACCCTCTTGTGGCACAGTGGTAGTGTTCCTATCCCTGGAGCAAGAGGCTTCGGTTCAAGTTCCACCTGCTCCAAAAGGAGTGTAATAACTTCTCCAAGTAGGCTCAATAGAACAATAGGTTAATGAAAAATTTACAGTGGTTGGGGCGGGGAAAGAGAGGAGGAGAGGCCGAGAGCGGGAGACGGGGGGAGAGTGGGAGAACGGGAGAGCTGATTAAAATTACTAAAATAAAAGCTTGAAGCATAGTTAAATACAAAGGAAATAAGAATGTAATTCAAAGCACATTAATATAAATGTGTGCATAATTTGAATAACTTTTGTCATTGTCAGGTAAAATTAAGTTTCATAATCTAAATTTAAAAATTTACAAAAGCCAATGAGCAAGAACTACAAATGTATCCTTCTGAATTCTTCTAGAAGAATCACTTCAACTGTGTACTAAGAGATTTTGCCCATCACTACAACTTCACTGAAAACCTGCATCATGCAAAAATGGAATTGCAATACAGTCTGAAATCCGGGATCAAAATTTTCCTTTGAGGATTAGGAAGCAGATGTTGGGTCTTGGCCCACCTAACTGGCAATTAATGGCAGGGAACAGGCTCACCATCCAATTCTGGACAGCAGTCAGCTCTCAAGGATAGAGAGTGTCAACTGGGAGGCCCTTCAGAATGATAAACTGGCAGCCCTGCCAGCCAAGGTGGGAGCTGTTGATTCATGATGGAAAGAGGACACCTGAACATGGATGTGTCCTCAGCAATAAAGGTCAACATTTTGCAAATTTAGAAACATTGCAGTAGCCTGACGATGTTTGTGGTGGGACAACTCTAATGTGTGGAGCTTTGGGAAGGGGTTGTTCCCCATACATGAAGTGTGCCCCATCCTTTGGCCAACCTGAACCTGCTATAGCTTCCTGTTCTTGCCCAGACTAACTAGAAATCCCAGTTAGCACAGAATAGATCACATAGTGAGCGTAATTTCCCTCAAATTGACTATAATGCTCTTACCTCAACCCAGCTCGTCAAAAACTGCTGGGGTGCTGAGATTGCTGTGCTAAACCAGCATGATGTGGAGGTGCCGGTGTTAGACTGGGGTGGACAAGATCAAAAGTCACACGACACCAGGTGATAGTCCAACAGGTTTATTTGAAATCACAAGCTTTCATATAATGCGGCTCTTCGGCCAGATGAAGTGAAGAGAGCACCGAAGCACAGACTTTATAACGAGAGAGATCAAAAGATCATACAAATGAAGTGAGTGGAGTGCCAACAGGCCAAATAATAGGTATCTGCAGGTGATCAAGAGTGTCAGACGGTGTGAGTAAAGTGTCAACAGCTGAATAGCAAGTGAAGGGATAATCTATAATCAGTCTAATTCAGGTATAAAAATTAAAAAGAAAGGTGATGCTAGAGGCAAACCAAATGATTGGATAACATTCTAGGTACAAGACTCACAAGAAAAGGGTCTAACGTAACAAGTAACCCAAAACTATACAAACTAATTATGGTAGAGAGATAAAGTTAAGTTATCAGGCAATGGTGCCAAAACAGGACAGTAAGAAAGATTTTACAGAACAGTATTGTGGGGTCACATGTTGTGTGACACAAACTCAAGATCACGGTTGAAGCTGTTTTTATGGGTATGGAACTTGGTTATCAGTTTCTGCTTGGCAATTCTGCGCCATTGTGCACCTTGAAGGCAGTCTTGGAGGACACTTACCGGAAGATCGGAGGCTGAATGTCCTTGACCACTGAAGTGTTCCCCGACTGGGAGGAAACATTCTTGCCTGGCGTTTGCTGCGCGGTGTCCATTCATCCATTGTCATAGCGTTTGCCTGGTATATTGGTGAGGCCATGCCTCGGCTCACCCTTGACTGCAACATAGGAGGTAGGCAACACTGGCTGCGTCACGAGCATCTGCTGTCTACATGGTGTGTGGTGTTCCCACGTGTGATGGTAGTATCCATGACGATGATCCGGCATGTCTTGCAGAGGTTGCCGTCGCAGATTTGTGTGCTGTTGTCCTGAAGGCTGAGTAGTTTGCTACAAACAATGGTCTGTTTAAGGTTGGGTGGTTGTTTGAAGGCAAGAAGTGGAGACATAGGGATGATCTTGGTGAGATGATAGTCATCATTGATGATGGCTGCCTCACAGGGCCAGGGATCTGGTTTCAATTCCAGCCTCGGGTGACTATGGAGTTTGCATATTCTCATGTCCGAGAGAGTTTTCTCCGGGCGCTCTGGTTTCCTCCCACAGTCCAAAGTATGCAGATTAGGTGGCTTGGCCATGCTAAATTGCCCATCGTGTCCAAGGATGAGTAGATTAGGTGGATTAGCCATGGAAAATGCAGTGTTACAGGGATAAGTTGGGGGAAGGGGTGGGGGTGGTGGTGAGAGTCTGGGTGAGATGCACTTCAGAGAGTTAGTGTGGCCTTGAGCCGAATGGCCTATTTCCACACTGCAGGAATTCGATGATTCAATTTTGAAGGTGTAAAGAACGGGGCGTAGTTTCTCCGCTCCAGGAAAGTGCTGGATGACGAAGGGTACTTTATTGGTCGTATCCTGTGTCTGTCGTCTTAAAAACGGTCATTGGGGTTTTTGACTGTGGCATGTCAGAACTGGTGATCGATGAGCATCATATACCCTTATGAGGGTGTCTTTCAGCATCTTTAGGTCCATTGCGTTCCTCTTCATTTGCGCAGATCCTGTGAATGCGCAGGGCTTGCCATCTTTAACATGTTTAGGGTGAAAGCTAAAGAAATGCAGCATCGTGAGGTTATATGTGGGCTTGCGGTATAGTGAGGTATGGAGGTGTCTATCCTTGGAGATGCACATGTCCAAGAATGAGACCGATTCTGAAGAGGAGTCCATAGCAAGTCTGATGGTGTGTGGTTTGAGACTTGTTGATATTGTTGTGCAGTAGTTTCAGTGATTCCTTGTCTGAGTCTGAAAGAAGAAAATATCAATGTATCGAATGTAAAGCGTCAGAGTCCTGTGCAGCCAAAAAGTCCTGCTTGAACTTGTTCATGATAAAGCTGGTGCACTGAGGTGCAAATTTGGTCGCCATGGCTGTTCCATGTGTCTGGATGAAGAGCTGGTTGTCAAAACGTTGTGGTCGAGGATGAAGTGGGTGAGTTGTAGGATGGCATCTGGAAACTGGCAGTTGTTGGTGTTGAGAACGGAGGCTGCTGCAGCGATGCCATCGTTGTGGGGGATGCTGGTGTAGAGTGCCGAGACATCCATTGTGATGAGGAATGTTCCTGGTTCAACTGGTCCATGGGTGCTGATTTCTGTAAGAAGTCTATAGTAACATGACAGAAGCTGGGGGTTTCCTTGTACAATGGATCTCAAGCCATAACCAGTGAGATTCTCACACAGGGTCCCATTGCCTGATACGATGAGACATCCAGGTGTGTCGGCTTTGTGCATCTTCAGAAGGCAGTAGAAGTCTCCTGTGCGAAAAGTATGCGAGATGAGGGCATAGATACTCTGTAGATCTGGATCAAAGATTTTGACCAGTCTGTTGAGTTGACAGGTGTGTTCCTTGGTCGGATTGACAAGTGGTTATCTGTAGTGTTCATGGTTGTTTAGCTGTCGGTATACTTCTTTGCAGTAGTCTGTTCTATTCTGTACGACGATGGTTTGATGACCATGCTGCTGTTGGTCTTGAGAGCATGGATGGCATTGCATTGTGCTTGGGTGACGTTCTGTGCTAACTTGCCAGTCCAGCTGATGAATCTCGCATTGATGCATCTCCTGACAGCTTGAGCATACATTTCGAACCCAGGGCAGAGGCCTTCCAGAAGGGTCCAATTTGACTCCTCTTCTTTGGTCGCTGCACTGCGGATCTCTCTGTTGACTGTTCCGGTTCATTGGTTGTCTCATTGGGGACGCTGCTGACATCTTAAGGTTTGTGGAAGAATTTCCAGAGCTTCATTTGCATGATGAATTCCTCAGGTGTCTGCTGCGAGACCAATGGAATCCATTTTGGTAGTGGGGCAGAAATTGAGCACTCAGCTAAGAACTTCAATTTTGTCTGGTTGAAGGGTGTGGTCAGACAAGCTGATGATGGACTTCTTTGTGATAGTTGAAACTGGTACTATGGTCCCGGGGAGGCTTGATTACTGTTGGTGGTGACGCCAATTTTCTCCAGTTTCCTGTTCTTGTGTGTATGTAGGCGGCGTAGCTCCGTTGCCTTGTTTGCTTGGCAGTATCTTGTAGCTGGTCCACTGTATCTTGAGTGCAAGCTGATAATATGGTCTCTATTTCAATTTCAAGGTTGCAACATCTGATGTAGAGCTGGTGTATGAGATGACCGACGACTGTGCAACAGGTGCGGTGGCAGTCTCTCAGCGTAGTCTGTGCTGTAGTTCAACTTGAATGAGAGTGCAAAAAAACCGCAAATGACCTCCTCAGAAGACAGACATGGGACATGACCAACACAGTACCCTTCATTTTCCCAGAGCAGAGAAACTATGCCATATTCTTCACAGCCTTTAGCACATCAATGACGATGAACATCTCGCCAAGATCATCCCTATGCCTCCACTTCTCATCTTCAAGCAACCGCCAAACCTCAAACAGACCATCGTTTGCAGCAAACTACCCAGCCTTCAGGTCAACGTTGATAACAATACCATACAACCCTGCCATGGCAACCTCTGCAAGCCATGCCACATCATCTTCATGGATACTACCCACGCACATGGGAACACCATTCATCACGTACATGGCTGATACTCCTGCGACTCAGCCAATTTGTCTACCTCATACACTGCAGGCAAGGAATGCCCCAAGGCATGGTACATTGGTGAAACCATGCAGACACTAAGACAACGGTTGAATGGACATCGTGCAACAATCACCAGACAGGAATGTTCCCTCCCAATCAGGGAACACTTCAGCAGTCAAGGACATTCAGCCTTTGATCTTCAGGTAAGCGTCCTCCAAGATGGCCTTCGAGATACACAATGACGCAGAATCACTGAGCAGAAACTGATAGCCAAGTTCTGTACCCACGAAGATGGTCTCAACTGTGATCTTGGGTTCATGTTGCGCTACATGACCCCACCACACTGTCCTGTTCTGTCACTGTCACCAGGATAAATTGTTATGATCTCTCTATCCTAATTAGTGTGTACTAGTTTTGAATTACTTATGACTTTGGTTAGGCCCTCAGCGTGCAACTCTTATGCCCACCATGTTATTCTGGTCATTTGGTTTGTCTCTAACATCACCTGATTTTTAATTTTTTGCCATTATCTCTCTGCCTCAATTAATCAGATTACAGATCATCCCTTCACTTGCTATTCAGTTGTTGACACTTTACTCACACCGTCTGACACTCGATCAACTGCAGAGACCTACTATGCGGCCTGTCAACACTCCACTCACACCATTTGTATGATCTTTTGATCTCTGTCTTCACTTCACCTGATGAACAGGCAGCGCTCTAAAAGCTTGTGATTTCAAATAAACCTGTTGGTCTATAACCTGGTGTCGTGTGACTTTTGACCTAAACCAGCATGACAGCCAACACTTAAATTCTAGGACCGACTACCTACAACAGCGTCCATGTCCTACCCTGCTTTTTAAGTGGTAGCCTGAGGTATCAGTAAGAGCTTTGAGTGCTAACACTCATGCACACTACAGAACTGCGCAATGAGTTAACACCAATTGTCATTATACCTCTCACAAAACTACATTTTGAAAGCCAATTAGAGGTCACCCTCTTTAATATTCAAAATCATCCCAAGAAACCCAGCCTTTCACATTCACCCAAGCATGTATTCTGCTGATGCTCAACCTCTGCAACCAAACAGTAACGAACAGTCAGTGGAGTAATTCTGGGCTGCATTGTAGAACCAGCAGACCAAAACTACCAGTATGAGACCAGCAGCTCCTGTGCAATTTTTCATAATTTTCTGTAAAGAAAATCCTTTCAAATGAGGGAAACTCTAGCCTAAACACAAATAATGAAAAAGGCTTAACTATTCACTTCTAACAAGAAACAAAACTGACCACAATGCAAGTTCATACTATATACAAAACATAATCCTGGAGATGAGCAACTTCATGTACTTTAAACTGTGGCTAAAAACTGAATAACAGGATAAAGGGAAAACTTGATACGTGCCAACTGAACTTTAATCAAAGGAAATCTTACAGAAGGTATAAACCACAGTGAAAGATTGGCGGGGCGGGGGGGGTGGAGGTGGTGGTGGTGGTGGTGGTGGAAATAGGAAAGCAAGGAGTGAAAAATAGACTTGCAACATTAACTGTGTTTCTCACTCGACAGATGCTGCCATACCTGCTGAGATTTTCTAATTCTTTCTGTCCTCATTTCAGATTTCCAACATCTGCAATATTTTGCTTTATTAAACAAAGGCCAGCTGGCGTTTATAGAATTCTTTTCACAGGAGATCCCAATACTAATTTATAGCCACTGATGTACTTTTGAAGTACAATCATTGCGGTCAAGTTGAAAATGTGATGGCAAACTTGCACATAGTAACCAGATAATCTCTTTCAGTGATGTTATTTAAGGGAAAAACATTGGCCAGGTAAACAGGAAGAGCCACCCTGCTCTTCTTCAAAATAGTGCCATGAGATCTTTGACATCCACCTGAGGGTCTCAGTTTAAAATCTCAATCAAATGAAGGCATCCCCAATAGTGCTGCATTCCTTCAGTACTTCACAGGAGTATCAGCCTGTAAAGTAACTATCCGATTTGAATTAGCAATCTTGCAAGTCTGCTGCAAGTGTGCTACTAACTGAATCTTGGCTGACACTGCAAAAAAATGGAAATAGACTTTGATCACTGACCCAGAAGGGACATGTGCCAGCGTAAGACTACGGAAAGAATGAGCCTTGAAAGGAGTAACGTGAGAAGTGATATTATAAGAATACAAGACAGTTAATTGCAGGGAAACAGTATCAAAATAGCATATCGGGAAATATTGAAGTAAGTTGCATGACTAGGGCAAAGGGAAAGAGATTTTCAGACCGGGCAAAGGGAAAGGGAAAGAGAAAGAGAAAGATTTTCAGACCAGGCAAAAGTACATTTAGGAATGGTATCAGAAAGATTGTCCTTACAATGGATTACAATGAGATGGATTTTCAGACATAGAAATTAGGCAATCATTGAAGAATTGAAGTAATTCTACAATAGGTAGCTTTTAGGGTATATCTGGATGAATGACTAAAGAAGAAAGAAATAGCATTCATCATTATCTTGTGAAAATGATGAGTTTAATATTAGCATTAGTTATTAAGTTCATTACACCTGATAAATAACTTACTATGTATTACACGATATCTGCCAGTACAAACTGAAAAAATATATTTCCTCTGTTTTAAGACATTGTAATATAGGAAACAGAAAATTAATTGACATGAATCTAAACGCCCAACGTCAACTTTGATGAACTAGATTCCGTTATATTAATCTTACAAACAAGAGAGTGTTCAAAATTCAGCAAAATGCAACTTTTTCTTTCAATCTTTTTTGAATAATTGCTGTTTACATACTTGATTTTTTGGATCTTTGAGGTTAAACATCAAACTTCTGTATTTGCTTTTATATTTAGTATCAGTGTCCCCATAAAAAGAAAATAGTTTTCTTTCAATCCTGGCTGCAACCTTGGTTGCTCGCTCCTCTGGAACTTTCAAATCCGATTCAGAGAGCCTGAACAAAAGTAAAATGTGTTTCATTGTTAATATAACCATAATTATAAAGTTAGCAATGGGCAGTACTGTATTTCTTATGAGACCTAATATGGAGAATCAAAGAATCAAACAGTGCTGTAGTCTGCTCAACCCATTGTGTCAGACCTATCTAATTTAATTCCATTCCCCTGACCTTCCTGCATAGCCCACCCTTCCCCCTTTAATCCCTTGAATTTATTTTGGAAGTTATTAAACCTACATTCACCATGTTTTCAGCAGCGCAATCCCAAGTGCAACAACTCTCTAATATTCTTCCTTCATGTTACCTTGAGTTCTTTCCAACAGAAACGTTTGTCTTGATTTATTCTATCAAAACACTTGAGTTTGAACATTTCTCACAAATTTCTCTTTAATCTTGCTCATTCTTATTCTCGCAACATAACTGAAATAGTACCAGGCTTACAATAGTTAATTATTATACAGTGAACACAAAGTTAAATATTTAATAATGCTCAGTTGATAGGCAGTGACTGCAGATTAATTTGTGCTCTTATATATAGAGGTAAACTGAAACCGTCACTGTTGGTTTAGGTGTTTGTGAAGGAGATATTCTACAAATTACAGTACATAAATTTGTAAATATTGGGTTCTAGTTCTATCCCTCACTAGGCAATTGTGAAAAAAGCTGTAGGTACCCTTTCTTAATACTTTGACATCACTCCTGAAGTTTGGTGCACAAGATTGGACACAATACTCTAGTCGAGGTCTAACCAGAGTTTTTAAATAATATGTACAAATTTCATTCCTTCTGTACACTATACTGCTATTTCTAAAGCCAGGAATTCCACATAATTGTACCGGATTTATCAAGAAATGTTAAGCGTACGTTAAGAGTGAGCTCCATGTTTCTAACGGATTTCAACCAATCAGAGCTCCTTCAGAGCTGAAGAACACACTTTAAATCTGACAGGTCCTTGTAGTGCAGGATATGAGGGCAAGGCAAACTATGCCCCTTTTTTCACAGCAGTCAATTTCCATATTATGAAATTAAAACCTCTAGCATCACAGACAGCTCTTGTGAAGGGTTATGTATATATAAGTGCGATGGCAGGGTGCCAAGTAAGTAGGACATCAAGGCAGAAGGTGGGGAGGGGGGTCCAGATAAGTGATTGTGACTTTTGGGTAGGCTAGGGGAAGGGCATCCCACGGCAGGGAGGAGTCGTTGGGCCCTGGGGAGAGGGAGAGGTGTCTGTTTCAGTGGGACAGGGGTTGTTCGGACCCTCGGAACAGGGCGTGTCAGTTCCGGGGACCCAGGAGAGGAAGGAGCTGCTGGGTCCAGTGACGAGGGTGAGGATTTTGGGTACCAGATATAGTGGGTACTTGGGTACCAGGTTCTCTCGAGTAGAGGTGGATGCTGGTTACAGAGGAGTTTCTGCCCCCGCAGCAGGGATGTGGGTGTCAGGTCCTAGGGGAGAGGCAAGTGTCAAATCAGGGTTTGGAGGGCGTAAGTGGTCTGGCAGAGAGTTAGTGGGGGTATATATACAGTAATTTTAATAGTGGTGCCAGTTTAATAGCTACTGATGAGTTCAACTAATAGTCTAAATTATTCTGAGTAACAGTTTAATTACTAGCACTGCTTCCCTCCAAATTCACTAATTTAAATGGATTCTTTCAGATTGGTCCAGGCATAGGGGAACTGCCCAGTGGAATCTTCAACATACCCAGGCAATTCCCTCATATGTTGAGAATTCTGCAGCGTCCTGACAGTCAACTCCTAGCTACGCTGCAGAAGTGAGTATCAACCCATCAGTAAATCTGAACAATCCTCTTAAAATACCTTTAGAACTCATTAAAGGCTCATCCCTATCCTTGCGCCACTTACTTTATATTGTGTCTCCTCATTCTTCCAACCAAAACAAATCACTTCACACTTCTCTGGGTTAATTTTCATCTGTTACAAATCATTTCTGACTGTATTCTCAAAATGTGAAATTATCTTCACAATTTAGTAATTTCTATGTTTTGTGCCATCGGCAAGCTTTTACATTATGTCCCTCATACCCACGTCTAGGTTATGTATGTTAAAAACAGGACTGATCCCAATGGGAGCACCACTGCATTCTTCTCTCTAGTTTGAAAAACACTTGTTGTCTGCTTTCTATTTCTTAACCAATTTCATATCTATGCAACCTTTAATCCCTTAAAGGTTCAATTTTCCTAAGATATCAACTATATGTTTCTTTTTAAATTTGGAGTTTGTTGCTTTCAGTCCTCATCATCCTTGGTGTTATTGGAATACTAGATATTGGGGACGGTAATCAGTAGCGCAGACATATATTAAGCATGCCAAAAGATCAGGTGGGCATCTCTGAAGCGGTGAAGAACAGTCATGAGAATTTAACACTACATCATTTATTTTTCTGTGATGTTTGATAGTGGGTGGTGTTTTCCTCGTCCTATGCTCACTAGCCCAAAGGTTTCTTCCCACGCAAGCACAAAGCAAAAAAAATAAAATTGATTGTTCCTGTTGCTGTATACGAATGGATTAAAAATATTTCTACAATGATAGCATTGCTTTCCTTTGGTAACTAGCATTGCCCTTTAAAGGTTACGCCAGAAATCTTTACAATTTATGGCGACTATCAACAAAACACATTATAGCAAATACTTAAACTATTGAGAAACCATTTAAAGGTAAATAGTTATAAAAGAAATGATTAAAAACTAACCACTGAATGAACTTTTCAACAATAGCCCAGTTTTGACAGACAACTGGACACCATTACAAATAGGCAAGAAATAATACTGCACCAAGGCTGCCTTCTCACCTCATTTTTCTCTTTAGTTTCTAAAGATAACAAAGATAATCTGATCCTATTTTAATGGTTTTGGACAAAGAAAAAAAAAAATCAGCCAAATTTAATTGTTATACCTTTTTGCTAAAATATCCATTAGAGAATGCCGGACATTCTGTCTAATTTGCTCCACAGTAGGCTGAGGTGCAGAAGGGCTGGTTGGAGCTGGTGCACTATTTGATGCTCCTTTCTCTGCTTTCTTCTTCACAGCTTGTTTGTCCTTTAAGTCTGAAATAAGTATCAAACGAAACACAATCAACATTGGTCCGAATTCTCCTAAACACAGGAACACTTCTCTAAAATTAAAAGTTGCATATAGTTTTATACTACTGCTTTCCCAGGCTGCATTCTTCCCCCAATAACAAGCACTCTGAGGAAGGGTGGCGCTCGAGTAAAATCAGAAAAAGTCAGTTAGGCCAACAGAATATTCATGACATAGATATACAACATTAAAAAAAACGACACCAGCACTTAACTGAACTCAACAATACTGCCATTTTTATTTATGTCATACCAATTCAACATCCATCAAGATTTAGCAACAAACATCTTCATTAATCCATTGCTTTGTACTCCTTTATTTCATATAACTCTTTTCCATGAGGTGACAAATTCAGATGTTCCAAATATTCAGAAGCTAGAAATCCGTTTTCTTTCAATTATTTTTATCCATTTAAATTATTTTCATGCTAAGTATTAATCTATAAGCACTCAGATTCCTTTCTGTTTTACTTCTCCAACAACTCAAGTATATTCATAGTGGCTATTTTGTCTGTCGGTACACGTCACTGCTGTCAAGAATTAGTTTCTTTTTATAGACTTTGCTCTTTTTTTGTCCATCTCTTTAGATCTGTTCACCTTGCAAAGCTGAACAGACTTCATTTGATTCCTGATTTTAAGTCAGTAAAAATTCAAAAGAAGAAATATCCAGCACAAAATGCCAGAGTACTTCAGGGTTCAAATTCCACCATAGCAGTTTGCAGAAATTGAATTCAATTAATAAAATCTGGAATACAAAGCTGGCCTTAGAAAGGGTGGTCATGGCAATTATCATCATTGTAAGAATGCAACTAGTTCACTAATGCCCTTTTAAGAAAGGAGATCTGCCATTCTCACCTTGTTGGCTTAAACGACTCCAGGCATACAGCAATTCATTTGATTCTTCACTACCCTCCGAACTGGCCTAGCAAGCCTCATAGTTCAAGAGCAATTAGGAATGGGCAACAAATGAAGCCCTTGCCAATCATATCCCATGCAATTCAGGTCTTTTGATCTGTCTGAGGACGGTCTGTTGGGAAACCAGAACCCTCACATATCCACTCCTTGACAGTGTATGGACATTCCTAGTTAGCCAATAGATTTTGCTTAACTAGTACTAGGGTAGGAAAATTAAACCTATGCCTCTCCTCCAATTACTCACTTTGGGCTCTTGCTTTACTGGATAAGGTAAGATCCCAGCTGCAGTCAGTCAGTTCAGCATCTCACAATCCTGTTCCAGGTACAGATGGTCATAAGCACTGTTGGACCGAGAAGTCATGCCTCAACTCTCCAGACCCAAAAAAAAACGATAAAAAGAGAAAGATGGTCCAGAGCCCAAGTAAGATGGTTTGAGGGAATTTTAAGGTAGTCTTAAAATTCCTTGGAATGAAGGTGAGCAACTCCCATTCTGGAAGAATGGATACACAACAGAAACCACTTGGCCTAGCATGAACATACTAGTTCTCTGAATGAGCAATTCATCTAGTGTCACCCACCCACCCCACTCCCCCAGTCCCTGCTCTGCACACCATTCCTTTTCAGATAATAATCCAATTGTAGCTTCAATGCCTTAACTATACCTGTCTACACCACACTCAAGCAGTGCATTCCAGGTCCTAACCATTCACTACACAAATTTCTCTCCTTGTCACAACTGCTTCTTTTGCCAACTTTCTTATTTGTGCCCTCTTGTTCTTGATCCTCCCAGATGGGATCTACTTCATGAATTTTGAATACTGTCAAATCTCCCCAAAATCTCCTCTTCTCTAGAGAATAGCCCAAAACTCTCTAAATAAGTAACTGAAGTAACTCATTTCCTAGAGACATTTTGATGATTTTTGGTTTTCTGCAACTTCACAAACAGAGCTGTAAGAACCCTTGTAAAGGGAACCTCCTTGCTTTTGTACTTTATAACCCTACAAATAAAACCGAGAAAGCCATATATTCTACTACTGCTCTTCCAACCCACCCTCCTATTTTCAATTATGAAAATACACAGGTTTCTCCACTTTTGCGCTTTTGTAGTGTACGCTTCATATTCATTATACGAAAAGTGACACTTCCTTCCACTGAATTATACCTGCTACTTGTCCACCCATCCTACCAACTGGGCAATGTCCTTTTGAAGTTCTCCTCTATCCTCGTCTCAGTTCACAACTCATTTCTGTTTTACATTTTCAATAAATTTCAAAATTTCACCCTGTACATAAACGTCTGGCTATTAATAAAGATCAGGAAATGTAGAGGTCCAAACCAAGGTCTGGAGAACTCCACTATCTGCTTTCCTCCATTCTGAAAATTAACCACTATCACTATTTGCTGTCATGCAGCGAATTTCATATCCATGATGCTCCTCTCGGATTCTTTAAGCAAGTCTGCTGTGTAGTGTTTTACGAAATGCCTTTTAGAGAATTAAACCAGCCACCTGTCGCAAAATTCTAACAGATAGATGTTTTATATTAAAAAAACTCAATTTTTTGTGATTAAACCTTGAGTTCAAAAAGATTAGCATCTGTCTAGGAGTGAACTTCAAGTTGCCACTGAGGGTTCAGTAAAAGCTGATACCACGATTCATGCCGTCAAAGCCCAGTTTTTGAACAAACGCTGCATCCCTTTGGTCTGGCTGCCACAGCACGGGTATTTTAACAGCTTTTCTCCCACCAAGCCAAGGTTCAGACCTCCAGTCATGGGAAAGCTCTGCAGGGTAGCGCACAAGGGGAACAGTGACGCAGGTTGTTTAGTGAATTGCAATGACAAGCCAGATAACTAGCCAAATAGTAAATTGTCAGTGCTCCTGAAAATCAGCAGTTATCCTCCTCATTCCATCTCGATCTGACTACAAAAGTTTGACATTTGATATGACAAATCACACCATTGTCCCTTACAACTCTATAATCACCTACTTGGGTGGACTGCGTTCTTATGTAATGGTAATCAGGGAATCACGACAATGGCTTGTCTTCTTCTTAAACACCATGACATCTCCTGAGACTCTATATTTGACAGCTTATTTCTAATCCAAATGCTAGACCTCCAAATGATTTTTAAAAAGCTAGTTTTCACATATACACAGAAGACTCCAAACTCTATCTCAATCTATCATTACTGCTCTATCTCTTCTCAGCCTCAACCTCTTGTCAGCACCCAGTACTAAAATGAGCAGAAATTTCTTCTACTTGAAAGATGGAAGCATTTGTCTCCTGTTTAGTCACAAACTCCACTCCACAACCAACTCCATCTTTTCCCATCATCTGAGACTGAACCAATATCTTTTGCAAACATGTCAAATGTGACCCAGAGATGTGCTTCCAACCACCTATCCCCAACTTCAAGATAATCTATGTCCACTGCCATTGTGTCACCCAATTCCAATCCACCCTCAATCTGTGCTGAAATTTTCATGCACGTTTGTTATCTCCAAACAAGTTTGTTCTAAAATCTTCTGACACCTACCTCTTCCCTTCTATATTCCACCCTCAATAAAATGGAGATAATATAAAACTGCTGTTCATGTCCAAACTTGCACCATGTCCCATTCACTCACTAATCTGCCCTGGCTCCCAGTTAAGCCACATTTTAATTTAAAATTCTCATTCTGGTTTTCAAATCCCTCCTTGGCCTTGACCCTCCACATCTAATTACCTGCAATCTTCCCCTGATCCGTCTGCCTTCTAATTCTGCCCTCCGGAACCTCCCAGATTTCAATGACTCCAACACTGGTGGCCACACCTTCAATCTGTTTACAGTACTGGAATATTAGAGTACTAATCTCTAGCATTCCCTCCCTAAACACTTTATTACTTTATAAGCCACTCCTTAGAACCTACCTCGCTGACCAAGTTCGTGGTCATCTATCCTAATAACTCTATTTGTGTTCAATCACATTTTGTTTTGTACTGTATCTATGAAACATATGCGATTTTATTACATTAAAGAGCATTACATTACACAAATTGCCACAGTAGAATAGGTGCAGCACAAAGGGAACCCATTCAGCCCATCACGTAGGTGCTGCTCTGAATGAGCAATATATCCACATGGTACTACATATTGTTGTTATCTGAAAAGAAACAATCCACTTCTCTTTTGAAAGTGTCAGCTAACCCAGCCTCCACCACAGAGTCAGGCAATGCATTCCAGATCTTACCCATTCTCATGTTATCATTGCATCTTTTGTAAATTATCTTAAGTGCTTTCTGATTCTTGATCCTTCTGCCAATGGGAACCATTTCTCCCATCTACCTATCCAGAAACCTAATTTTGAATCCTATCTCTTCTCCACCTTTTATTCAAAAGATAGTCCCAACTTATTCCCACAAGCATTGTTTTCGTCCTGTATGACAGTCTTCCATTCAACCAATCCATGCCAACCATAATCCCAAACTAAACTAATCCTGCCTGCTAGCGCTTGGCCCATATCCCTTCAGACATTTCTTATTCATGTACTTATCCAAATGTCTTTTAAACATTGTAACTGTACCCGCATCGATCACTTCCTCTGGAAGTTCATTCCACACGAACCACTCTAAACATGTTGCCGTTCATATCTTCTTAAAATCATTTTCCTCTCACCTGAAAAAATATACCCCCTAGACTTGAAATCCTCCAACCTAGGGAAAAGACATCTGTCATTCACCTTATCTATACACCTCATGATTTTATAAGCCTCAATGAGGACAACCCTCAACCACCTACATTCTAGTGAAAAAAAGTCCCAGCCGATCCAGCTCCTCCTTATTACTCAAACCCTCCATTCCTGGTAACATCCTGGTAAATTTTTTCTGAACCCTCACCAGCTTAATAATATTCTTCCTATAACAGGGTGACCAGAATTGCAAATTGTACTCCAGAAGAGACCTCAACAATGTCCTATACAACCTCAACATTACATCCCAACTCCTATGTTCAAAGATCTGAGCAATAAAGGCAAGCATGCTAACTGCCTTCTTAACCACTCTATCTACATATGA